CTAGGAATTGTATTGGGAGGTGGCGGGGTAGAGTGGAAATGTGTGAGTTTGGGGATAGACTGATCTGGATACAAATTTCAGCTCAGCTTCTTACCAGCATGTAGTTGAATCTGACCATTACTGAACTTCTCTGAGCCTCGCTTTTTTTTCATCTTAAAACTTGTATTTTGTAAAGTTGTATGTGAATAAATGAGACAACATAAAAGAAGGCACTTGGCATTGTAACTATAAGGGTCACTGCTGGCATCTTTATGTAAATTACAAACCCCCCCCCCCAAAAAAAAAACAAGAAATCAACCTCTTCCTCAAGTGATTTTACTTCTACCTTTAGAACATTTTCCTAATATGCTAATAAGAACAAAAAATGCTTTACTGCTTATATTAGTTTGCTAGAGCTGACATAAGAAAATACCACAGGCTGGGTGGCTTAAGCAACAAAAATTTATTTCTCACAGTTCTGGAGCCTGGAAGGTCAAGATCAAGGTGCTGGCAGGGTTGGTTTCTTCTTAGGCCTCTCTTCTTGACTTCTAGATGGCTGCCTTCTCCCTGCATCTGCACATATGGCCTTTTGTCTGTGTGTCAATGTTGAGTTTTTGACTGAATGAACCAACTGTTAGATTTTTGTTAAGCCTGTTGTCATCACTGAGTTTAAGCTTCCTCACCTGCATTCCCTAAAGTATCACTCTAAGATTCATAAAATGATTTTGAGAAACATTATGAGTCATTATATTTTTAAAACTACATGTTTTCATTTTAATTAATATCGATTAATTCCCTGCTAGGAAAGATGAGGAAATTGACATTCCCACTTCCTTTCACTTTCCTCCCCCACTTCCTGGTTTTACCAGCTATATTATTTTATTATATACTGGCAAAGTTTATAATATTTACTCCTGTTTTGTATCTCGAATTCCCTCAGTTACTTAATCTTAGTTTTCCATTTAAATGAATTAATTGCTCACCGTCTGTATCAATTTAGGTTCGTGATTTCAAACAACAGAAATCAACTGGTTAATTGAAGCAGAAATGGAATCGATCAGCAGGAAGTTGGGTGACTCGCAGGTGGGGAGACTGGGGAATCCTGCTCAGAATTGGGCGGGAACCAAGGGAGAGTGAACAAGGTCCTGCCGAGTGAGTGTCTGGTTACCTGCACCCTAGGACTCCCCACTGGACCCTCCTTCCTTCCTCGCTGTATTCCGTCTTCTCTTGCATCTCTTCCTCTTCCTCCTTTGCTGTCGTGTGTTTGGATGGCTTCTTGTCATCTGATTGTATTTTGCTTATGCTTACTGTGAGAATCTTTTCCAATCCATATCTGCTCTTGTGTAGTATGGATGAATCGAATCCCCTTGATCCTTCCACTGTATCTGAAACCTTATCATTTCTCCCTATGAGTTGTTTGAAGGCTGGTTATTTTTTTCTTTCCATTCCCCCCCCCCACCCCCCCACTTTGGGAATGGGGAAAATGTGGCTGAAGCTGTGAGAAATCTTCACCAGAAGACCCATCTATGCTGTGTTCTGTATTCGGGTTTTGTCAAATGTTCTCAATGAGAATTCACCCCAGCCAGTTGGGGTAGGTCATACTCCCATGTGCTGGGGTCCCTGGGCTCCAGATTATGCTGCCTCCATCCCACCTCCACCCCAAGGCTGTAGATTCACGGAAGGGCCAGGAAGCCTTCATTTCTGGCAGAGAAAATGGGCCATGGGTGTCTCCTATTTCATTCATCCCTTCTTAGGAGCCATTTCTGTTCTGTCCCAGAAGATGGGAAATAGTAATGTATACCCTCAATTCATTTCTTTCTGGACTGAAAATGAAGTGGTTGCCATTTAGGATTTTTTAAATTTTTATTCCCTGCTACTGCATCTGGTGGGCGAGGCGGGATGGGGGCCAGAGGTCATATTCAGGAGCTGTGCTAGGCCGGAAACTTGGGCTTCATTCCTTAGCTGCCTCTCCCCTTGTTTGGTTGATATTGGTGACAGTTCTGCTAATTACTTGACTTTAAACATTGAAGGGGGAGAGTCTGTCTATCTTTATTGGTCCCAGCATCCTGGTAATAAACCCCCTGTTTGCTGAATCTGGTTCAAGTTGGATGTCTGTCATGTGTAAGCCAGACAGTGCTAACAAATGCAGTGCCACAGGTGCAGGAAGAAGCCTTCTCTGGCGCAAATGAGGGGCCGACTTCTATCTTATCAGCTCCTCTACTCTTCTGGCACAGATGTGGGCCCTCGGGGCCCTAGGACCAGGAACATCGTTTTCTCTAGGGGCAACATTGGGTTATCTGCTTCAGTGCTCAGTGTACGACCCCATAAAACTATAATGTGAAGCATAAACAGACCCCAGTTTAGACGGGATAATTTTAAGAGTAGCATGATGGTTAATTTTATGTGTCAACTTGGCTAGGCCACAGGACCCAGACATTTGGTCAAAAACAAGTTAGATGTTGCTGTGAAGGTATTTTTTTTAGATGTGATTATCACTTAAAGCAGTAGACTTTGAGTAAAGCAGATTATCCTTCTTAATGTGGGTGGGTCTCGTGCAAGCAGTTGAAGGCCTTAAGAGAAAAAGGCTACAGGTAGAGGGAATTCCACCTCCAGGCCACCTTTGGACTCAAGCTGCAACATCCACTCTTCCCTAGGTCTCCAGCCTGCTGGTCTGCCTTGCAGATTTGGGGATTTTGTATGTGCCAGCTCCCACAATTGCATGGGCCAATTCCTTAAAATAAATGTATCTATCTATCTATCTATCTATCTATCTATCTATCGATCTATCTATATACATATATGTATACATATACATACATACACACACACAAATATCCTATTGGTTCTGTTTCTCTAGAGACCCCTAGTTAATACAAGCAAAAATTCCTGAACATCCCTGAGTCACTACTGATTTTCAATATGTCTCCTAAGGAGCAACTAATTTTGTTTGTTGCTGACTCCTGTAGGATTCACCAAGATGAGTTTACTGCAAAGAAAGGAGACAGTCTCTGGAGTCAGACTGCCCAGTTTCAGTCCCTAGCTCTACCCCTCCTCACTTGCTGTGTGACTTGGGGAATTTACGTCCTTTCTGTGGGCCTCAATTTCCTCATTTGTAAAATGAGACAGATGTTTGGTTGTACCTCATAAGGTTATATGGGGATTAACTGAGATAATAGATGCGAAGCATTGAATAGTTTCTGATACATAGCAACTTCTTGATAAATTTTGACAGTTATTACAGGTCCGCTGTTGTGCCATATCGGGGCCTGCAGAGCAGATGCTGCAACACCGCTCACCGGGGCTGGGTGGCACCCAGGAAGCAAGTGCAGTCATAGCTCTACAGTGAAAGGCACTAAGAGGAGTAAATAAAGATCATCAACAACCTCATATTGGTTCAGATCAGGTTTTGCCGCCAATGGCGGTGGGTTAGGGAAAAAACTTATTCTTTTTCAGAGCTCTTTGGGTTTTGGAATTGTGGATAAGGGATTACAGACCTGCATCATATGATAATGTTTTCAAAATACCGGGAAACAAATTGGCTTGCTGGGTGAGCTTGCTTAATATTTTCCACCTGAACGTTGGCGCATGTCTATCATAAAGTAGTTTTTGTTTAGGCATCATCGAAAAACATCTATTTTTTTAGACCCAACCAAGCATTGCGTTCAGTTCTTTTTGGACACCTCTCCTGCTTTGCCAGAGTAAACCCATGACCTTGGGGCAGGGAGAATTCTTGCCTTCTTTTTGCCGTGCTGTTTGCCTCCACTTCACCCTAAATCCAACTAGTTCCTTAACCAAGCTGCTAGGCTTGCAGTCTGCAGGGATGAAGGCAGGGACACAGGCTCTTGGAGGAATGTGGGGGAATTAGAATCATATTCCCTCATTCATTCAACATACATCTCGTGGGCACTTACTCTGTGCCAAATATTACGAGCTCTATCTGTGTAGTATATTGTTTATCAGGTGTGTTCACATTCAGTACCTCTTAGAGTAACCCTAGGGGGGAAGATGTGGTAAATACTGTTATCCTTGTTTTACAGGGAAGAAGCAGAGTCTTAGAAAGCTTCCGTGTCACTTGAAGGCACAGATGTAGCTGACCTGAGACATAAACCCAGTTCCTCCCTTTCTTCTACACCGCGAGTCACGGTACTTCGCAAACATTTCGTGGGGTGCGTATACATTTTTGAAGATTAAACTGTTTAGCAGTGGTTGGTGCCAACCATCAAAACAGAATTAAATAGCTTTGGCAAAGCATATTCTCATGGAACCTGTTTCAGCTTAAAGTGGTTAATCAGACATTTCCTATTACAAGGGGTTACCTTGTGCTTTGCATGATGTGCTTCATTGTTCAGATGTCCCCTTCAGGACTAAAGGATTTAGTCCCTTATCTACTGAGAAGGTGGTTGGCTAATGTCTCCCTAGGAATTGCCCACAGGTGGAATGAGAGCCTCCTTCAAGGTCATACCCCCTTTGGATGCAGCCTGCATCCCATGATGCTGAAACATAAAAGCCCCACCCCCTTCTTCTCCTGACTGGGAACAACTCTGAGGGCCATTCTTGCTCCAGACCACCCTGTGGGATTGGCTGAGACCTTGTGCCTGCACCCCAGCCCATTTTGCCCTCTGCCCAAGCCCACTTCCTTCCCTTTCTTCCCGTCTCCCCTCCCCCCCAATACACCTCTGCCCCTAAATCATCCTCTCCAAGTCTGCTTCCTGGGGAACACACTGTGAAACTCAGTGGGAGGTGGAAAAAAATAGTTCTCAGGTCCTTACTGTGTGAAGTCCTTACTGTGTGAGAAAATACTCACTTTAGAGATTTGCCGTCTTTGATCATGAAAAAGGAAAGAAAAACAAAAAACCTTTTGAAATTCGCTTGGTCTTTTCGCTGAACGAGACACTCAGCCATTTATTGTTTCCCTTTATTTACTAACTTTCACCCTAGTTTTAATCTGCCTCAAAATATGAATAGTCAAGCCTACTTGAACCCATTTTGCAATTGAAATTTGTTACAGAACAGAAAATTACATGAGGAACTTGAAGGACAAGGCCTTTGTTGGAACAGGAAACAGCAGAACATTATCGCAGACTGGAGTACTTTTGGTAATGATGCATGAGGTTGAAATGATGTGAAAGAGAAACCATTTAGCCATGGAAATGAGCAAAGGAGAATTCCGTGATAATGACCTCAGGCCCCAGTTTTTAGGAAAAGGAAATGGTGGACATTGGCATGAGGTCACCCTGGCACATGTGGCATTAGATCCATCAGTCCACTTGGGTTTGGAACCTGGTTTCATTCTCTGCCAGAACATGACTTAGTTTTCCTCTCAACAGTCCTTGTGCTTCTTTGAGGGTGAAAAATAGGCCCATTTTATAACTTACCATAAGAGATCTCGGGGGAAGAGCTATGTTAGGGAAGGAGGATTTTTACCAAACAAATTGGTGACTCAATTTGAACTGGAGTTTCTAGGTTAAACAGTTGCATTTGCTGGGGGAAAGGATGAGGAGCAAGGACTGTTATTGTTGTCATTGTTTCTGATATATCCTACCAAGCAACTGCTTTGGGATAATAACAAAATGATTTCACTATGGAAAAAAAAATGCAGAGAAAAGGAACTAGGGCTGTTTGATTGGCTAATAATGAACATAAAGGACTTCATGCTTGTTGAATGGCAGATTGAAATCCAGTGTGTATTCATGCAGATCTTATGGGGGTGGTATTGGATTGGACCACAAATTAGTGCTGGCATTAATGAGATGGAAGCTATAAAATACAGAGAGTTCCAATAACCATGATCTCTGATAAGGCCTGATTGAAAGCACCCAGACCTTTCAGACAAGTTCTGTGTGAGAGAAGAGCAATAAACAACAAAGAGACATTCAAAATGGGGAAAAACTGGGGCTTATAGAATGGGCTGAAGTGTTGTTAGAATGCTTGGTTAAAACGACACAGCACAGCTGAGTGACAAGCACATCCTTGCCTAGAATAATAATTTTTAGAAACAGACACTGTTTAGATGCACTCTAATGATCAGAAAGATTATGCCCTTTCATGGAACGGAAGTTAGTCTAAATCAAAACTGCTCTGTGACAATGCCACTACTGCTACTGCTAGTGCTAATATACCTTATATGTGATATGTATTGTGATATTTAGTTTATAAACCCTTAACATTTGTTATCCTGCTCAGTTCTCACAGTAGGTGTCCATCGATAGTCGAATGCATGTGTATGCACCCAGTTAGCTTTTGAATTCCATGACTGCAGGAACTGGCCTTATTTATTTTATGAGGCTCCTCCTCCTTTTCCAGGTAATTGTTCATGAATTCTCCTAGGTCATTTGTTTCAAAGGACACTGCCAGGTGGAAAAATCTCCCTTTCCCAGCATTTCTGACATTATCTGGCACATAGAACAAACACTATTATGGCAAAATTATATAATGCCATTAAGTTGATAAATGAACAGAAGATAACCATGTGCATTAACATGGGCGGGTTGCATTTGCACATGGAATTATTGGATAACTTCAGGCTGCAGAACTCATCCACAGCCACTGTCACTACATTTTCTTTCCCAAGTAGACTGACAAGGTCCTGGTGAGCGTGTGTGCATCGTTATTGAACCTCCTGACTTCTTGGAACTCCATCAGTAAGTTTTCAGGAATTCTCAGTTTGTTTGCAGGTGAGCAAGGTGGTGCATCTCCTGTTAGTGCCACTCATGCTTATGTGTTGCTCAATCTCCCTCCAATGTTTTATTTCCTGTCACTCTGGGTCATGAAGTAGCTATTGCCTGTCCAGCCTGATTTTTAAAAAAAATTTTTTTTTTAGCTGAGCCATCCTGCCACCTGTTAGCAGCTCAGTGGCTGCTCAGCTCGGGCCGGGACTCGAACCGCTGTTGCTCAGAGCTTACACTTTTGAGCGAGCTCTTAACCAACTGAGCCACTCAGCCGGCCCCAGCCTGATTTTTGTTCCAGGCATACACAGTGGGGACAGGATTGGGTGGGAGAATTTATGTCATTTCCCAGTGGTCACTATCTTGGTTTTCTTTTTTTATATCCTCCTTTTTTTACATAACTTGAGAGCTATTTCAATGCCTTTATGTCTTTCAGGGTCCACCTTAGATATGCTGACCTTTAGCTTGCCTTTTTGTGGTCTGTCCTTTATATTTAAGTTTGATATATTTGTGTCCAGCACAGAGCCTGACATAGTATATGTTTATTTAGTATATGCTGAAATGAATGGAACTACCCTGGTTGAGAGAGACCCTTGTATATTCATTGTATATATAAGGAACAATTAAACCAAGGGAACTACAATATTAGATAAAAATTTAAGGCTGAGGAGACCCTTAGAAATCAACTAAACCTCCCTACTTCATCTCTAATGTTTTGTTTTTGTTTTTGTTTTTTCTTAAAGATTTTATTGGGGAATTGGGGGAGGAGAACAGCACTGGGGAATTTGGGGAAGGGGGACAGACAAGTAGCTGTCCTTTTGTTCTTCAGTTTAGTTATGGAGGATGTCACTTCACTGGCCCATGTTGGTATGATCATTGCGCTCTTCCCAGGTGAGGCAGATCGGTCGCCGGCCTCTGGACTGCCGCTCATGGCGACTCATGGCAGCTCACGCTGGCTGCTGACTGCTCACGCTGGCTGCCAGCCACTCACGGTAGCCCACATGAGTGGGCAGCTCATGGCAGCCCACTGCAGCAGGGGCTGCAGCCTACGCTGTCACTGGCAACTCACAGAAGCCCAGCTCCAGGTTGAGCTGCTGTTCACCATCTTAGCTGTAGAGGGCAGTGTCACTGGCCCTCATGTGGGATCTGAACCGGGGCCCTGCTGCTCAGAGCTGGTGTCCCAAGCCAGCTATTAACCAACGTGCCACTTGGCCGGCCCCTCTACTGTTTTTATTGATAAGAAAATTAAATTAGAAAGGAATCGACTTTCCCAGTATTTAGTAGTTAGTGGGTGGTTTAGTAAAGGCTAGAATTCTGAACCATGATCAATGTCTTTCTCCCCACACATCTTCCTCAAGGTTAAAGACAATAGACATAGAGATGCTCCTGTGTGCATCATATTAATCATTTTCCAACACCTTTCTGCCAGGCATGGTATGGCAATCGCTTTTTATTTACATTTCTTGATCACTTCTTGCTTTCCCTACCAAGAATTTAATAAATATCAGGGAGGGAGCAGCTGGAAGGCTTCCTAAACTGGCTAGTGCAGAATCATGGGACATAAAGGTCAGAAATGGCTTTACAGGTTCCCTGGGCCAGTCATGCTCTAAAAATTGATTCTCCACCTCCATCATTCTGTTGGAACATTCCTGGCCTTTCCAGAGCTTATACTGAAGATTTGACTGAAATCCATCTTTCTGGAGCCTTACCTTGAGGTCCCAGTGCACCCCTGTGGGGACACTCGGAACAACTGAGTTTCTAGCCTCTGGGGATAGTTCTTTTTTTTTTTTTTTCAGCTGAGCCATCCTGCCACCTGTTGGCAGCTCATCTTGGGCCAGGAATTGAACCGGCGACCCTGTTGCTCAGAGCTCGCACTCTTTTTTTTTAAAGATTTTTTTTAATTGGGGAAGTGGGGGATGGGAACAGCACTGGGGAATTGGGGGGAAGGGGAACAGACAAGTTGCTGTCGTTTTGTTCTTTGGTCTAGTTGTGGAGGATATTGCTTCACTGGCCCAAGTTGGCACCATCATTGCGCTCTTTCTGGGTGAGGCACATCAGTTGCTGGCTTCTGGACGGCTGCTCACAGCGGCTGCTGGCCGCTCACGCTGGCTGCTGGCTATACACGGTAGCCCATGGCACCCACTGCAGCAGGGGCTGCAGCCTATGCCGTCGCCAGCGACTCACGGCAGCCCAGCTCCAGGTTGAGCTGTTGTTCAGCATCTTAGCTGTAGAGAGCAGTGTCACTGGCCCTCATATGTGAGATCTGAACCGGGGCCCTCTGGCGTCCCAAGCCAGCTCTTAACTAACGCGCCACTCGGCCGGCCCCAGAGCTCGCACTCTTGAGCAAGCTCTTAACCAAATGAGCCACTCAGCCGGCCTGATAGTTCTTCTGATTTGGTTTTCCATGATGTTTCTCCTTCTACATTAACAATTTATTTTTTCCACCAGTGTTTCCCTGCCTTTTGAACTCCAAGTCATATATTAAAAGTGATAATATTTGCATGGCACCATGAGGTGAACCCGAGAAAAATTAGGGATGCCTATCTGGGGATTGGTAAAAAATTTGTTACATGTTTTTCTTTAGAGTATATAATTATGATAAAATAAAATATAAAATATTAGAAAAGAGATCAAATTTGTAGAAAGCTTCCAAATGAAATCTTTCCCAAGGTTTGAAAGTCAAACTAAGCTTGATTCCATGAACATAACCTTTACTATCAGGTTTTATGTTTGTAATGGATACATGTAATTCCTGATCAAGACTCGATAATGATGAGTTCTTCAAGTTCTTGATAGTCATGATAGATAAAAAGCTGTGATTAAAAATGTAATACCATTTTTTACAACCTTTCAAAAATGTATAGTAGGTGAAATTATAGCTAAAGACTCTGGTAGCTCTTTCCCTGACAAATAGAGTGTCAAAATTTCTAATGTTGGTAAGAAAGTACTTCTAATCCAACTGAACTTTTTCATAGTAAGTATTTCAAAATATGCTGAAGCCCCATTTTGCAGGATGTAAGTGCATTGTTAGAGCAGCACCCAGGAGTACACATGCCTCCGGGAAGGGTACATCCGCTACCCATGGAAGGAGGTAGTTGTTATATATGAAGGAAGAGGGTCAAGACAGCACCAGAATCACCTCCACTGAAGCATCTGCCAGGACCCTTCCCCCACTCCCCACCTCCGAAAGCAGCACTGAAGGTAACGCACTACTCTTTGGTCACGCGGAATACTAACTCATTCAGCTGCAGCTGCTCCTCTCCACCTTCAGGATGGCCAGCAGGGCACTCTGCCTCTGGCTGCCAAGGGAGATGCAGAGGAGGTAGGTAAAGCAAACATCTTTTTGTCTCTGGTCGATATACCAGGCTGAGCAGTGAGGGTCAAGTTCACTTTTTGTGCTGTTCCCCTGGGGGACCATGAAAGGCATCCTCAGACTCAGATCCCACCCTGCTTGGACTGTGTTTTGCAGAGTTCCTCCCAGTGCTCCCTGGGCTGGAGCTGGTTGGCATCTGGTCTTCAGCTGTCCCAGGTCCTGGTGGTCCAGCTCTAGGCACTGCTCTAAACTATTCGGAGCATACTAGGATGCCAAGGCACACAGATTGGAAGATCTGCTTTCGGCCATTGCTTCCGTGATGTGGATTCAAGTGCTTTCATCATCACAGTCTCTCTCTGATGGTCATGTCTGATTTATTTCTATCCTTTTCACAGCATGATGCCCAGACCTGAACCCCAGGTGCAATCTAATCAGCAAAGGAGACACCTAGGGACCTTCATCTCTCTACATGTAGGCAAGATGAAGTTTTTGGTGTCTACACCATGCAGTTGACTTGTATTAAACTTCTTGAATATTTTAACCTTTAAGTGACTAAACTTATCTGCAGAAGGAGCCTGCTCCCCTGACCACAAACGTTCGGGCCATTGATTTTTATGTGAATCAAAGGCAAAACCTTGGTTTAATACTGGGAGACCAGCTGTCTCTGAGGTGACAAAGCTCTGCCCCATGGATGGTGGCATCTGTCTCCTTGCCCCAAGGAGGGTGAGTACAAATGCTAGTTAAATGAAGAGAAGGCATGTTACCCTTTGTGAACCTAACCTTCTGATACTCCATGCTAAGGAGCTTGAGTGTTTTTCTATAGGTAAGGGGGCCATTATAAATGTTTGAGAAGGCAAGCAGCCTAATCCAATTGTGCACTTTAATTTTGCCTTGGGTTAGTTTTTTTCTTGCAATTTCTCTTCCTCTTTTTAAATAAATCATTTATATTAAAATATGTATAAAGAAAAGTGCACCAATCATAAATGTATACCTAAATGAATTATTACAAAATAAACACACAAGTCAAGAAATGGAACATTACCAGGAACCTAGAAGACTTCTTACTTCCCCTTCCCAACCACGCCCCACTCCTCCTGGTTGGCTAACCACTGTCCTAACTTCTAATACATAGATTAATTTGGCATGTTTTGAACTTTCTAAATGGACTCATAGGATATATTAATATATTCTTTTGTGTCTGGCTCTATTGTTCAACGTTATAGCTGTGCGCTTCACCTATATTGTTCAGTGTGGCCATAGTTGGTTCTTTTTTATTACTCTGTAGTACTTCATTGCATGACTGTACCACATTTCATTTATCATTCTATTGTTATGTGGATATTTGGGTTGCTTCCAGTATTTGGTTCTCATGAATAATGCTGCTAAGTGCATTTGTGTACATGTCAGTGGCCCATATTTATGATTTTAAGGGTTTATCATGCTTTGTTGCCACTTGGAACTGATCTATCCTGGAGGAGAGCCTGGGCCTTCTTCCTGGCACAAAGGCTTCCTTCCAGTAAAGCTTCCTTCTTAAACCACTGGCAGAGATATTCTGCCCAATACGTACACTGACGTTGTCCTATGTGAAATAATAACTTTGAATTTCTATTTCTAAAGGTGCTTTCCTTTCTATTAATTCCAAATGTGAAATCCAGATCCATTC